AGATTTTAACAACTCTGAGCTATTAGTTAAGTTCTCCCCAAGCGAGCTCGATGGGCCGAATGGCCTCCTCTCGTTTGTATAGTTCTTATGTTCTTATGTTCTTATGTTCTTATGTTCTTATGTTCCAGTCTTGGAGGGCCGGAGCCCTGCACATTTTTGGGTTTCCCCTCGTTTAACACACCTGATTCAACTTCTTGTGCTAATTACCACATAGCTGTTGAGCTGAATCATTTGTGGTGGAACAGGGAAAGAACTAAGTTACACAGGGCTCCGGCCCCCCAGGACTGCAGTTTTACACCCCTGCTCTAGTTGCTTGGACCTACTTCCTCTACAGTCCAATTGGTTAGCTCTCTCAACAAATCATCTGTCGTTATGTCCTCAGAGCATTTTTGCACAAGTAAAACTTCCATGAGCATCAATGTCTCCTGCACCTTACTTTGAACTCTGATCGCACAATTTTTAAACAGATGTTATTTGTTCTTGTCTTTAATGTCTTATTATTGTGTCACATAGCACTAAAGAGCCTACTATCTTATTTCATTTTGTGTTGTGCAATATACACTGAAATTGACTTGGACTTTCTGACATTTATTTTACAGAGGAATTTGCCCTTTGAGATCCTGAAATATGACCCTTTGACATACGAACCGATCCGAACGGACGTGGGGCGCTGCGTGAGAGCTAATAAAGGTTAGGTCTATGACACTGAAATCCGTTTTCTCAATGTCTGCCATTTTTTATTCTGTCCGTGTCCCGCCAAAACGGTGTTCTGTTGGGTTCTGAAGGAGAGACCGGCATTTTGGTCGCCCCCTTGTCGGCCACCAACCCCTTCCTGGGCTACGCGGGGAACCAGACGCAGTCAGAGAAGAAGCAACTCCGGCATGTCTTCCAGGAGGGCGACCTCTACTTCAACACTGGGGATCTCATGGTCCAGGACCATTGGGATTTTGTGTATTTCCAGGATCGGATAGGAGACACCTTCAGGTACCACAGTCAAGCTTTGTTTTTTCAACTTTTGTGAAAGAAAAGTGTATAGGATTGGGGAGACAGTTGTTGAACAGACGTATAATTGACTTCAGCAACTATCCCCAGTTATAAGTGTCTCCACTTCCACTTGCTTAAGGCCCCTAGCAACAACTCTGATGCTTATGAAACACAGGACACCAAAAGCACACAGATTAATGAGTAAATATGTGCCAGATTTGATTCAAATTGTCCCCAGTCTCCTCTACTTGGCTGATATTTATTGAGTTTTTAGGGGAAAGGCTTCCATGAATGTTCTTTATCTCCATGCGCTGCTTACAGACCAATTCTGCAGTGGGAATATATTTCTGCGATGGTTCATTTTCATGCTCCTTGCTTCTGGTCTTCCAATCAGCGTGCTTGCAGCTGCTGGCGAGGTCCAGTAAAGTCTGGAGGGGAACACCGGTCCCTTATCCCCACCACAGTGTGTGAACCACCTTTTTGTTGGAGCAGAAGCTGAGACCCATTCAGACGGGGGGGCGGGGGGGGAGGGTATTTGTGAAAGCCTCCGCGGGAAGAAAGGAGGCCATTTCCCATTCACAGCAGCCCGGGTGACGCGGGACCTGCTCCGGTGACGGCCTGTCAGTGACAATGCAAGCGCTTCAATGGCGAGCTAATGTGCTCACGGCGGAGCCGGACACATGTATGCGAGGGCCGAGCGGGAAAGGCCGAGCGCCACTGAAAGCCGTTGCCACGGAGGGGAGCGTAGCCAATGGGGCTTTCCATTGAGGGCGTGCCAGCAGGTCAAACGCTTGTGCCCAGGGAGATGTCTGACAGTGGCCAGGGTCATAATACAGACAGTGTGCAGGCAGTAAGTACTTCATTACTGCTTTGTAGCACCTCACTGTGGCCCTTGCAAGACGCACGGCTCAACTCGCCATATTTTCCCACCAGGTATTTGTAACATCGAGTTAAACACAGGAAGAAATACACTTTACACTTAAATTTATTTTTGTTTAGTACACGCTTAAGTCCAAAGCACCGTGCAAGTGAGGTGAATAGCACAAACATGTGCCATCAAGGAGCCGACTAGATATACAGTAAGTGCAACTAGGCTGAGCGTCTAGTGAACGTCCAGGCACAAGTGTAAGCAGTATTGGAGTAGGAGCTACACGACGACATAGAAACAAAACAAGAATCTAAGAAGACAGCTATTCAAATCAGCAGAAAGTGAAGTATTAAGAACATTAAGGGAACAGGTGGCTCTTGAGGTGTTTCTGGATAGAATCTGATGAAATGCAGCAGTGTTTCTCAGTCCAGTGCTCGGGGAGCCCCAGTCAGTCCATGTTTTCGCTCGCTCCCAAGTCCCTGCCAGACAATACTGAAATAAGACGTATGTGTTCCCTTGAGATTGCTTCTCTTTTAAGGGTTTAAATTACAGTGAGTCTTAAAATACAAAAATAACGATTCAAAAGACCTAGAAGGAAGGGAGGGCAGTAACCCCTTCACATTCGCAAACTCTGTATTGTGGTTTTGGTTATTTGCAAGTTGGCTGTGGACAATTAAACGGGAATACGTTTGGCGCTTATTGAAAGGCCGCAGAAACTCGCAGACGACTCTTAAGCCAAAAACAATACTGAAAATGATTTGGATCACATAAAATCACATGATACATGTACAATATATTAGTGATACATATTTGTTAGTGTAAGTGTATACTAGGCCTATATCTTTAATATGAAATGGTTTGGCTTGAGCAAACCGCGCATTTTTGTCTCGTCAGTTAGCCGCACTCATGCGTTAGCTGCCTTTGTCACTGTGGAATCTCACAGTAACTCAAACTTTTCAGTGCCGTTAATTTAGCATTTTTAATAATGGATCCAAAACGAAGTGCTCCCTGTGCATACAGTAGTAACTTTGTACATACAAGGGCATAGCTTAGATGTTTGTATATTATACAAAAAGGTCTATATAGGAAATGAGAATGCAATTTAACATGCAAAGTGTACAGTACAGTACTGTTTGTTTAGAAATTGGGAACAAATAGACTTATGTTATTGCTAGCAGACTGTTATGGTTTGAGATTGGGGGGCCAAGTATGATTCCTGAAGTGTCACGTTCGCGGGGATCTTCCACCCCTAACCCTTGCTCATGTGAAGGGGTTAATGTATTGCTTTGCATTTTTATTTATTTATCCGATGCTTTTATCCAAAGCAGCACCCTTTCCTGTAGAAATAACTGGGTCAAACAGTGGAAATATACTGAAAGCACTCTTTCAATGCTGGGATTTGAACCAGTAACCTGCCGGTTATGGGTACAGCATCCTAGTCACACACTGCCCCATATTCATCATGAATGAAAATGAATATGAAATCTAATGCTATCAGCTGATTATGAGTGTCACGGCCTTTGGTGACGTGCCGTTTCCTTCTGCACAGGGACATGCATACAATGGCAGCACCAGGTTTGGGCTCATGAGTCTTAAGCCGTGAATGTTTTTTTCAGTCATGTTTTGTTTGTTATATGTTTAATCTATAATGTGTTTTTTTTTTGTATAGATTCACAGCCGCAGTGGAGACAGAACTAATGTATTTTGAACAGAAAAGACAGACAAAATCTTATCCTTTTTTAATCTTGAATTCTGACTCATCGGCAGGGTTCTGGGCTAAGCCTCAGATCTCCTCAAACCTTAGAACCTTCCCTGCCTACATCCCTTCGTTCGCAGTTCCAGTTCCTTCATCAGTAAACCCAGTGGACTCTGAGGGTTCAGTGTTTCCCTGACGACCAGGCGTTTGCTTTTTATGCTCGTCTGAGCAGCTTGTGTGCTGCTGAATAACTCCATGATTGGCACATTATCCGTTTGCACAATCCAGCTCCAAAACCAAGGGTTGATCTTTGAACACACATGTAACTATCTCGTGACATCCAAAATGTTCGGACATATGAGTCCTGTATCTTTAATACCCACCCAACACCCACAAAAATTTGCTGTATTTAAGAAGCGGGCTGGGAATGACCTACCTGCCTGCTGTCAATGTGATTATACTTAACAGAGTTTATTTCAGTTCCTTGCGCAGTCTCTTGTTTCATATGCAAACCAGTAGCGCCATCTAGTGTTCAGTTTGCAACCTGTTCTGAGAAACACAGTCGGGAATGGGAAAACCGGCCTCCCTCAGCGGTCTCGGTGATGTACATTCTCCGTTCCAACGAAGCTTTGAAAAACCCATTCGTGACTGGACCACACAAGCTATTCAAGTACAAAATGGAGAGAGGATTTTCAAAAGTCATTACCTCATTCGGGAAATGAAATATGATACAAAAAATATACTGTTTTATTTAATGCTAATCCCAGAGACTGTCAGATTCGATTTGAGGGATCTCCTATTGTACACAAATGTGACATAAATGTATCAAAAATACTAGCTTTTTAATAGCTGTAAAAGATGATGCTGTTAAATGGAAAAATGCTTTAGCTTTCTGTCTCCCTTAGGATAACAGCAACTGCTAAGAAGAAAAATTATATAGATAAGCGGATGAATGGATGGATGGATATACTGATGGTTTTTATACTATACATTCAGGTGGAAGGGAGAGAACGTGGCTACGACAGAGGTGTCGGAGGTCCTGGGTGATGTGGATTTCTTGCAGGAAGCAAACGTGTACGGCGTGACTATTCCAGGTGACAAAAGTCATTATGAATTTCATCGTTCAGTGGAAATTAAAGAAACTTTTTAGCCAGAGAATAAACCACAGAAGTGTTAATTGTAAAATCTGTGCTTTTCCCTTTCCTTCATTGCTTGTTTTGGTTGCCAGTCTCAAGTTGTGTTTTGTAGTCTGGTAACTGTAACATCTGCCCGTCCATACTTTTTAGATTCACCCTCCTTCGATACGAGCCACGTTAAAGGCTGTTTGCTATGGGGTATCTCACGAGGGGGCTAGCTGTACCTAGTACAGGTTAATGCTTAGATGGCAGGTTCTCAGCTAGGCCCTGAAAGCATTTAAAATGGCTGTAGGGGCTATACGACATTTCACATGGAAGATCAGCACTTGCCTTACACGATTTTACGCTAAATCAGACACAATAAAACTGTTCCCTTGTAGCCGGTTAGCTATAGCTAGCAGGATTACGCGGTATAGCTTGAGCCAAGCAAAACTTGTTACGATGTTCTTTCCTGGGGCCCAGGGTACGAAGGCAGAGCCGGAATGGTGGCGGTCGTCTTAAAATCCGACCAATCGCTGGATGGGAAGAAGCTATATAGTCACTTGTCGGAAAGGCTGCCTGCATACGCCTGGCCGCGGTTTCTGCGGGTTCAGGTAAGCGTGTCATGGGGGGGGCGGCATAATCCCATAAAACTAAAACGAGGCTATTTCTCCGCTGAAGAAAAAGATACTTTTAGAGAAATGTTGACTCTTCATAACTCGAGACCAAACATCAAACCATACTGTGGTCTTTGGTGAACCCTTTCTGCTGATTCATAGTATCTATTCACATAACAATATAGCGATTGGTTATGCTGTTTGTACCAAGCGCATTATTTTTCAGTAGACAGAGATGAGTTTCACAGTGCTATTTTTGTGCCAGTCTGATAGAATAGGTGCATCATTCCAGCTCCCCTACTAGACCATGGCTGTATATTCCATCAGATTGCAAACATTCGACTCATCTTTTCATCTCCCCCAAACATCTGGGAGACATCTGTGCAACCCTCATTGCAGTTGTAGCGGATGAAATGAGGGAGACTAGGCTAATGCCGGCTGGAGCGTCCTTCTACGGAGAGCGGAACGTCAGTGCTTCTCGCTCGCCAAGGATTCGCGCTTCTATTTAGGAAGGAGCTTGACGAAAACTGGGGTGATTTGGGCCAGATGTCTGCCTTGGCGTTTCAGAGTCGTTAGGGGTCTGTGTGGTTAATGGTAACAGGGTTCTCAGCTCTGTGTCCTGACCCGCATGAACTAATAGAAGCCTGGCTGAGCTGTGTTTTAATCTTCAAAATAAAGACTGATGTTCTTGGTCGATGTTCATAGTGTGTGAGATTGAGTATTTATCTCTAGTGCTGAACCAAAGTCTATTAGCAGGGGGCGCTGTACTGTTAGCTCATATTTTTCTGACTTTTTTGATGGGAAACATTAAAACGTTGTCCCTGTCTTCCCCATGCTCCTCAGGTATCCCTGGATGTGACGGAAACATTTAAACAACAGAAAGCAAAACTGGTCCAAGAGGGGTTTTCTCCATCCATTGTTCAGACGCCCCTGTATTTCCTGGACACGTCCAAAAAAGATTACATTCCTCTCACCGAGACTGTGTATGACAGCATCATAAGTGGAGAAATAAGACTGTAAAACAAGCTGTAAAAGAATATAGCTAAAAAAACAGGGATCCATTCATAAATGAGTAATTGTCTCAACTTAGAAATGATTTTGATAATAATTATATAAGACATTGTCTTATATAAATTCAAAAATATAATGATGGGAACAGGTTTTAAACTTAGCAACTGAATGAATAAAATTAAATTAGCTCATAGGGATTGTTTTTCTTTTTTAATGGATTTATCCCAGCATGCATTTGAGTTGCTCTAGCACTTTTTAGGTGTTTTTTTTTCACTTTTTTATGGTTTATAGTTATATTGTTGCTGACAGCCTCAACTTGTGCTGCAGATGAACGGAACGGTGTTTGTCCATCTCATTTTGGCAAAAGACGACAGATCACATGTAATTCGGGGACCTTTGATGTCTCTTCCAGCAGATTTTTAAGGGTTTTTGTTGAGACGTGTTCACATATAGATAAGATGTATACTATACACACACATGTGAAATGCGTCAACTGGAGAAGCATTTCACTACATTCCATCAAATCTTCCGCGTGAAGTGTAGCTTAGCAGCGTAGCTTAGCAGCGAACGCCGAGCTGGAATTCGTTTGCTGGATGATTTGTCTGAGTTTTTTTTTTTTCCTGGGGCTGCATGTGCATCTGCTTTAGGCTCAAGTAAAAATCTTATATTTTAACTCTTTAGTATGTTACCATTCACACTACTTGCAAGTATTTAAATGACTGTTGAAATAGTTGTAATTCATCTAAATTTTGTAAACTTGGTTACGCATTTTCCATCTGTATTTTGCTAAATAAAGGATAGTACAAGTTGTGCGATTATGAATTTCTTGACCACTGAATTATGTCTCCTTCATAGCTTCTCAGTTTGGAGTAATGTGCCAGAGCTTCCCAACCAGAAAAAGATCATAATGAGGGAAATGTCCCCCAAAAATTCAATTTTTCATTGACTGGTCGTCATTGGAATGAGTCAAACTGGGAAGTGTGCAGAGGCCAAAGGGTTAATAAGCATTGTCTGACATCTCACCTGTGTTTTTGGGCACCCACTTCAAACACCAGTGTGTTGTGCTGTGGAGTTTTCTTTTTAAATACAAGCCATTTGTGACCCATTTATCTAATACCATGTCTCAAAACAGAATTGTGAAACATGTTGTTCCTGTTTTACTTGGTCACTAAGCTTAATGTTTCATTTTACTGCTGTGATCTTTTTTGAAAACCAGAACGAAAGAAAACACTCTTAGTTTACTTACATAAATGTGATCACTAAAAATGTTTATTGTCCACTGTGACCCTGTAAGTCGTCACATAAATGTAGTTGTTTACTTGGGTGAACTGCATTTGCGTTTCACCTCAATCACCTTTTTCTTATAGACTCACAGTCACATGACCTCCACAGGGCACTAGAGGATCATGGGAGTTGGGTTCTGGTTGGCCGCGTTAGGGTAACGCTACAAATGTTTATTTAAATCCACAGAATGGCCACTTTGAAGCTGTGTTTGCGGACGGCGACGACGATGATTTTTACGATGTTTAGCCGTCTTCTGAGGTCCCTTGAGGGTATAGGTGTAATAGGGATGATGAGAATAATCAGCCGAGATGGGCCGCTGCGCATAGGCGGCGTTTCACATTTTTGCCTAGGGGGGGCACCTACCGGTTGACCACGAACTCAGTTTTATTTATTTATTTCTTCTACATACAGTATACCATATTTTCCACTTTCAATTATTTGTAGCCTATATAATTTATTCTTAAATTAGAATACATTTTAAATTAACAATGACTGGTAGGCTACACAAAGAGTGGAATAAAAACTTATATCTTACCTAATGTATAAGAATCCGCCTCTTTTACCGATTTGCGTAGATGTCCACTATCTTCTCTCCTGATAAATTTGCAGTCAACTCGTTTTCTATGTGCAGTAGGGAAAGATCGGAAAATCGGTCCTGAGTCATTGCAGATCGGAGCCAATTTCTGATTCTTCTCATCACTGAGAAACGTCTTTCTGAGGCAGCAGAACTAACGGGCAGTGTGAGGGCGAGCTGAAGGAGTCGGTAAAAGTTTGGATATTGATCCTTCCGCACTTCATTTGTAAGTTTTTCAAGGGTGATCGGCGATGGGATAGCACATTTAATAATGTCCATTTCAGCTGCCACTTTTTTTTTTTAATTAAAATTAATTTTGCCATAATTTACTCATTTAAATTATATGATAATGCAAATAAAATGAGACAATGTGAAAAAAAAGATTTTTTTATTCATGTTTGACAAAATTGATTGTCTCTGGTCTGGGGGGGCAGTGTCCCCCCCGGCCCCCCCTAAACTCCGCCTCTGCCGCTGCGGCAGTCTAGCAGTCTGCTTGGAGACCCCCTTGAGTGTCATTCATATCTCATGCTCGCCTCATGCATTAGCATTTGCAACAGTCAGTGGCTCCAAATTTACAGACTGTAGTCTGCTGAGTGCGTTCTGTTGGCTGCAGTCAGTAAGTTACCAGACAGATATGCTCCCCAGGGGCCTGAGTCAAAAGCAATTACAGTAACACTGCATAAGTTCCGTGAAATATAATTACAGTTTGCAAATCTTCCCTTGGTAGAATATACTCTGTACTGGAAGGTTTAAGGTTTGGGGCTTCAGGTATCGTACTTCACCGCTCGTGAGCTTCAAAACCATTGATATACTTTAATTACATTACAAATAGTCACAATCAATACATATATATAGACACACACATTATATACAATTGATTTTTTAAAGTCCTAACGAAATCTCATCCAATGATTATGAAATACACCAGGGGCCAGTGAAACAATATCTTTTCTATTATCGCGATGTACAACTGAGGAATTGTTTTATCTCCTACAGAGAGGATGGATGTTGTGCAAACATTTTTTGTCCTTGATATGTGGTGCCAAGCTGGAGGGGCTGATATTAATTGATGTCCTTCTACATGAATGAAGATCTCATATCTTTGCCAAAGAATTACTACTTTGGGACTACAGTGATCCTGACTTCTCAAAACCAAATCCAGACCGCTGGAGCTGCTCATCCCAAAGGGATCAGGGATGATTCTTTCACACACAGCTCACCTACGGGGTCGTCGGCACCCTTTCTCTGTTTTGTATGAATTTTTGTTCATCTGCAAATGCAAAGGATGAAGGAATTTGCATGGGGACTGAGTGCGAAGGTACGGTATGCGGCGAATCTGTCCCAAGAAACTTCTCCCGTTATGCTCGACACCAAGCCACTGCCGAGGGAGGGCTCCTTCGGTTTTTTAAGTGCAAGCTCCAGCAAATTTGCTCAGCCTTTTTGATCAGTACAGCTGGGCCCTATATTAGCCTGTGAGTTACTGGAAAATACTCAAATGCAACTGTTCTCAGTTTATGTTTATTTTTTAAATATTTGTTCCTAATTTATATCAAAAGTTACATTTTAAACTGTGCTACTGCAATCCACCCTATACTGCCAAAAAAAAAATTACAGTTCACTAGTTTTTTTCACCAACATAAAATTGGACAGTCCCTCTCTTTTGGGGGATAAAAGTCCTAAATCGTTAAAAGTCCTAAAACGCATATACGGACTGCATAGATTTGATCACCTATCATATGTATGCATGTGCGTGTGGTAAGCATATTGAAAACACATTTAGCACAATCTATTTGCATATGTGCTGTTTTTTCTCTCCGAAGAATACAATGGGATGTCCCGCAGGCAGCATCCGTGAATCGTACCCACATCTGCGAGGCATTACAGGGCCATACCTCTATGGGATTTCACTCTTCGCCTCTGTCATTATCCTCTTCATTTAGCCAAGCAGTAACTGTGTGACATGAAACTCGCCTGAGCCGACAGAGCAACCCAGAAAAAATAATTTAAAATGGCTTTTATAATTGGTCTACAACATTTCAAGTATTTTCTTCTGCTTGACGACTATAGGTTCTCCACTTATTGTCTTCCAATAATCATCCTGATATTCAATATGAATTTATCAAGCAAATATAAACCTACTGTGTTTCTCAAAGTTGTTGGATGTATACAGCATTTTTTTTCAGTAATGTCCCGTCTTCTTTCTCCTGGCACAGTTACCAAGAAATTTAACCAGATTTATGGTAGTGCAAAGTAATTCACTCCTGAGTATGAGAAAGATTACTGGATCCATATGAAAGGCTCAGAGCTGGTCTTAGCAAGTTCACAGTTGATTTCTTTACAACACAGTCTGTCCCGTTACCACGTAACTGATGCATTCCTGAAAAAACTAGCGTTCACTAAAATTGTATACTAAAATACACATATCCAATGGGAAAATGGGAATACAGTGGTACCTTGATTCTCGAACTCACTAAAACTCGAATTTCTTGAAAGTCGAACAAACCAGTTTGACCTAGAACTCAATCTGAATATCAGAAGTCGAACCGTGAACGCTGCCCTAATATAAATTGTACGCGCCAGGAAATGAGTCATACTACAATGCAATTCTTACTTGAATGCCTTCTTCACAGACTGGACGATTAACCAAATAAAGCAGCGCAACATTACAGTAACTAACAATAAATAAACCACTAACTTACATGTACTATTACACCATTTATGACATTTATTTTTACTTTATTTTACCAGGTAAATTAACTGAAAACCAGTTACCACTGCTTTACGTGATATTCGGGAGAAATAGCAGATTATGCCAAGAGGGTCTAGCTGCAGACGCCTGTAGAGTGGAGCTCCACAGGAAACATGTGATCTTTAAGGATGTAAAGTGGAGCTCCGGTTAGGGTTAGGGTTAGGGTTAAGGTTAAGGTTAAGGTTAGGGTTTATTCGCTGTGACACAGAGTTGAGGCCACGTGTTTCCTGTGGAGGTGACATATTTCCGGTGGAGCTCCACTCTACAAGCGTCTGCAGCTGGACCCTTCTCGATTATGCATCGGAACTGCCTGGGATACAAATGTCATGCATGTAAGTAAACTCTTCAGCCAATAAGGGTAAAGGTGTGTCGTCACGGAGGCGGTTCCAGTTTGTGCAACCGGGTGCGAGGTCGCAATGCATCTAACCGTAATGCATTGCGTCAGGATCAGAATGCGTTGCTTTAAGCCAGTGCTGTAAGTAAGTCGAACGCACCCAATGACCGGACGAGGACTTAATACACAGGACTAATGACAACAACCAGAAACAGCTGATCACATGGGGATCCCACACGAGGTTAACGAGGGGGCGTGGCACACGGAAGGAGCACGATCGGGGCAGGACAGGCGTAATGTTGGGATAAGATCTTTATCGTTTTGGAAGCCATTAAGAAAAAAATGCTCTTCTTGTTTTATCCTGTTCATTTTGTGTTTAAATGCTAAAAAAATCAAAATATTTAGGTGTAATTTTGGGGGGCTGGGAACCAATTCATTGGTTTTCCATTATTTCTTATGGGAAAAATTCGATCAGAACTCCGTAGTCCAGAACGGATTAAGTTCGAGAACCGAGGTATCACTGTAAATGGTATTATAATACATCAATAAATTACAGTGTATCATAAACATCTCCTATGGGTTTTCTGAGTCTCAAGAGAATTACTTACTAATGGTGTTGACCAAAGCTGCCAAACTCACTAACTTGTCGAATGCAACGGCCAAAACGACACTTCGTGAACCATTTGCTGTATTTTCTGACCCCACTAGGTGGTGCTTTATGTTCAAAAAGGCACTATTAGTCGGAAGTAGTAAACTGCAGCCGTGCAGCTGGGCATGCACACTGCACAAAAAAACGGATCACGGTATGTGGAGGGGCACTGAAGGCAGCACTGCTACAGTCAGTCTACGAAAGTTAATGTAAGTTCAAAGGAAAGTTTTGTTCAAGTATTGGACATCACTATCATTCATTTGGAAAGCTGCAGTTTTCCATGCAAGCAGTGTTTCTCATTAAGACCATATCGCTTTGTAGCTGGCATAGTGCTTTTCTCTCCAACTGAAAATCTAGCAATACACATGCGATTTGGTGTTGTTTTGAACCTGGATACTAATACATCAATCATGTTACAACAGTTTTGCAGTGTGATATCACACGTAGTGGCAGGACTGACTGTATAAGCAAAAAGAAGATGCATCAAACAAGACATCCAGCTATAAAATGCTGTAGCTCCTACAATTTCAATTGTCTCAATGTTAGTCATTTTCATTTAGCTGTAAGATGTAATAAATTAAAACTAACAAAAGTTAAAATAGTATTTTGCGACATACCGGCCAGATTATGACAATAAAAATGCACAGTAGTATTGAGAGCCTAATATATCCCTGTCGTGTTGTTTGCAGAACCTTCTGTATCAAAATTCATCAAGGATTTGTGTGAAAGCTACGTTTGATAATCAACTACCATAGGCCTAGTTTAAAATACAGGAAAAGCAATGTAGGCAGCAGTCCTTGTGTCTGCTCAAGTACTCAAAGCAAGTTTAAATTTGCATTTAACACCACGGTTTAAAATCTGCATAAGGTGTTTGCTATTTCTCATTATTATAATTACAACTGTAGGTATACCACTAATTACCGTATCAGCAGCAAACATTATTTACTAAACTCTGTGATACACCACATCGTGCCAAGCCTTCAGTGATATAACCGTTTTCAGAAAGAGTTTTCCTCCAACACTGAAGGAGCATTCCTTGGGAAAATTTCCATGTGCGCTTCACACTTAAGACTGGATTCCAGTTACACCAAATCAATGAAATCTAGCTCAAACTTTTTACAATTTAGACAAGCACACGCTCAAAGAAGCAATTTAGCATCACCCATTCAGCTGAGCAACATGATTTACCTCCCAGTAGCAGAATTGTGGGAGTGCTGTGTGGGTTTATGGGGGCAGGGGGGGTCGG